TCTTGCCCCTTTCGTTTAGCCCAGAAACTGGAGGGCCTAATTATTTGGGGACAGGATGCTGTGCTAACCCACGGAGTTTCAATGCATTTCCTCTCAGCACATTCCCTGGTAAAAAATTTTCTGTTGACATTCAAACCCAGCTAATACCAGCCACCTGTCTAACCCTTCCCTGTAGTTCTTTACCTCTTTCTAAGCTGCTTCTATTCTGTCGTCTGGTTGACCTTCTTTCCTCCCCTGCAGTCACCTGTCCACCCCAAGCTTTTTCCCCTTGCCTCCTTCGGGGCACGTTCTTTGCTGTCTAACACTTGCCAGTGGTTCCACATCCTGCTCTACGTTGACTAAGTTCCTTATATCCACACTCCTGAGACAGAAGAAGAAAAAGAAAACTTATGTTTCTTTATGATCAACAGAGGTAATTTATGAACGATTGTGAATTTCTGTCAAAAAGATCTGGAGCACAGTGATTTAAATGTTTAAGTGATTTTATGTTCTATTCCCCCATTGCAGGACCTAAGCAAAAAGGAACAGGGGCAGGGGCGGGGACTCAAAAGTTTTATGATCATAATGAGTTTTCAGGTCATGACCACATTAATTCACCTTGTTTACACCCCCACTTGGCTTTTGATCCTTTTAATTAAAATACCAGAGCCCTATTAAAATGAATGAGATGCGAATGGCCTCAGAATTTCTTCAAGCATTGCTAATTAGGTTATCTTCAAATGTATTCAAACTTTCGAATCTCTTGAGTTTTCAAAATTGAGCTGGAATCAGGCTGAAGGAAATGTGTGGGATTTCTGCCTGGAGAAGCAAGAAAGTTAAGAACTCAAAACCATGGGGGAAAACAACTTCCCTCCAGCATTGATTAATGAAAATTTTGTTTCTAACTTTTCTTTAAAATGTAAGAAGTCGATGAATCGTTTACATCCTCCTTGTCTTGTTTCCCATCTGTAGACTCAAATGAAGCAAAGGATGGAAGAAAAAAAGAGCCTAGAATCCGCAAGCCAACGCTTTGGGATCCCACCTTCTTCCATTCAACATTAAGTGTCGCGTATGAAATGTTAAATATAATTTTATGTGCCCACACCATCAATAATGGGATTAAAACAAGAGGGCACACTGAAATCAACAGGAGTCAGTCCTCACTTAACCTCAACAGGTAGGTTCTTGGAGACTGTCACTTTAAGGTGAACGATTCATAACAAAACCAGTTTTAACCCACAGGTTAATATCATAATAAGAGCGAGTCCCTACACATATTTCTGGTCACAAAACATCACCCAAACTTCTAAATAAAGAAAAAACACTTCTAATATTAAAACATTGGAATGAAATGTGAGGCTATACGTACGTTAAGAAAATTAATTAAAAACAAATGAAGATCCTTATTTACCCAAAAATTTTTCCCTTTCCCCATCCAGGCCGTTAGCCTGAGCCGTATCCTGGCAAGCTCAGCGGTGCCAGGTGGAACTCACACACACACCCACACACACTCCATCACAGGGCACACACACACACACTCACACACACCATCACAGGCACACTCACACACACCCCATCCATCACAGGGCACACTCACACACACACCCACACACATTCCATCACAGGGCACACTCACACACACACTCACACACACCCCATCCATCACAGGGTACACTCACACACACACCCACACACACTCCATCACAGGGCACACTCACACACACACCCACACACACTCCATCACAGGGCACACGTGTTGTGTGTAGAGTTAGCACTGATGGAGTGTGTGTTGGAGTGTGCCTGTGATGTGTAGTGTGTGTGTGTGAGTGTGCCTGAGGTATGAGCAGTGTGTTGTGATCGTCATCTCTTGCTGCCATGTGTGTTGTAGGAGTGAGGTAGTCATTTTAAGCTCGTATTGAGCTTGTGCCCTGTATGGAGTTGTGTGTGAGATGTGTATCATA